GAATAAATAAACGAGTAAATAAACAAGTAAATAAACGAATAAATAAACGAATAAATAAACGAATAAATAAACGAATAAATAAAGGAATAAATAAAGGAATAAATAAATGAATAAATAAATAAATAAATAAATTTGTTCACACATCGCTTTATATGAATAAGGCAGTGTGTTACCAGCCAGCTATTGCGTCACTCGTTCCCCGCGTTCACATACTTAGCACTAGAAAAATTTACTTTCACCACAATTTATTCTATTTTGTGTCGGGATTCATAGAAAGTATAATTATTTACATCAATCTTCGTTGATAATTTACTATTTTACGGGTAGTATTTAACCACTCACTAAAAAGCAAGTTTTTTCACAACCAAATGTGCCACTTCCCCAACAAAGTACTGATTACACATCAAAGTATGTACATCACAAGAAAATTAAATTAGCATTATCTACTAAAAATAATGCATAACATTTTATCGCAATGCATGTCTAACATCTAAATACATGTCTAATATTTCTGGCGGACAACAAACGTATGACCACAAATTTATGAGAAAAAACATATGTATTTCACTAAAAGGTACATCAGCCTATCGGAATGAAACACCATTTTATTTGACATAATGGTTTAATTCTACAATTTCTCCAAAACAATAAGATCAATAGTTATTTGTTCAACAAGAGAGCAAAGTCGTTTTTTGGTGCGAGTGCTGTTTTTGAGTCCTGAGCAAGCGAAAGATTCTATAGTTGAATCACGAGCGTAGCGAGTGATTCAGAATTAGAATCTTGAGCGAAGCGAGGGACTCAAAAATACGAGCTGCAAAATAACTTTGCTCTCGCGTGATACATACAACTTTTCACCTCAGCAGCGAGAACATATATATATACTAAAGGGACAAGTAATAAAAACACGTCATGAAAGCAAATGCATCATTGTATATTTACAAAAATACAGAATTTACAAAAAATTAAAAGTGGAACGTGAAGTTTGTACAATTCTGTAGATTAAACTAAATTATCATAGTATTAATTCGTATTTGTATTTCTCACATAATTTATCTTTTAGATGAATTGACGAGTTTCCGAACGTGCACTCGTTCAGCCATTTTGTGGGGGTCTACTATGTAGCTTAAATATCGAAGTACGAATAAACCATAATTTTCTTTTTCCTTTTTCTTGTAATGAAGTGAAAGGGACGGAGCGACTGATTTTGAAATATGTCGAATTTGTATTAGACCCCTTCGCATTAAATGACAAGTCTCCACTTAAAAAGCAAAAAGCCACTTTTTCTCACGGAGTGAGCAAAATAAGATTTTGCTCACTGATTTCACACAGCAAAATAGCCTTGTTCGAGCTGCTGAGGTGAAAAAAAAATTGCACACAAACATTGCTACAAAGTCTACCGCTTGAAAATCGTAGTATTTTTTTGTATTTGCAAGTAAAGGCTCAATTTATTTCAAATATTATGAATTGCTTAGAAGAAAATCAGCTCCAAAGCTTAAAATAAAAAAGCAAAAATAACTTTTATAACCTTTGCCCAGCAGTGGGATATAATAAGTTAATAAAACAAACTTTTATTGAATTATTAATTCGCGTCTTGATTTCGCAGGACGTTCATGCTTACTTTTCTGTCCGATTAGAACATGTTTGACGTCTGCTGGTGGTACCACATACATAATATATTATAAGGTTGTTTTATTTGTAGTGAAATATTTTTTTTAGATGTGAAAGTTATTTGAATTTTAAACATAATTTTATGTGTATTTAGTTTCCTGATATGCACTCAAACATTTTCCTTATTTCAGTAGTATTCTAAAAGCCTAACTGCAAAGCCATACGACACAACTACTACTTCAGGGTTCCCAATAAACAGTTATCAAAACAACAGATACGAAAATCGAAACCCATTCCGATCTGATCCAAATCAGTATTCAAAATGGATGATACGATAAAACATTTTATTCGATAAACAGTTGGTATAAATAAATCTATTTTCAGATTGTACGTATAGACTGGCGACGATGGAGCTCTTCCTGGTTTTGGTGTTGCTCGGAGTGGCAGCAGCGGTGCCCGCGGAACACCAATATGCCAACAGGGAAAGGTAATTTAATTATTCCTATCGTTTGGAACATTCATACAAAAATGAAGTCTATCGACCAGCGGAAGTTGACACCAATGTACGTGTCCATTTTGCTAGACCACAGAACAAACAGTGCTTATTTCAAAGACATGTACACATGTCTTAAAAGTTTGGAAGTTTCGGGTTAAGAAATAAAATGTCAATATTATAATCTCGTTTTGCTGCCAGGTATTACCACGAGGCCATCGGCATCAAAGAAGCTGCGCGCATCAAGGCAGCCGAAGAAACCACCGACTACACCGATACTAGAATCATCGGAGGCCTTTATTCTGAGCTAGGAGAATTCCCGTACATGGTGAGATAAAAAATAAAACAAAACGAAAAGTTGCGACCATATTTTCGCTAACAATGGCGAATTCAACATCAAAAACAACTTTGCAGGAGCATTTTGGCTTGCCCTGCAAACGTCTCATTGCCCGCGCACATTTCGACGGATAAACAACAACGAGTACAATCTGCGTCGTCGCTATATATGTATATACCACGGTTTCTTGCGAAAACAAAAAGTTTTCGTTCGCACCTGGCATCGTACAAAACATAATTATGTTACTTTCGCAACTGGTTACGAACCACCGGTTTCGTACGCGGCGGAAGGGGTGGAGAATGGCCAGACGGGGGTCACCTCGTCGTCAGATGTGCGAAAGGCTGCTGCCAGCAGATGGAAGCTAGGGTCCGAACGAAATGGCGCACATTGGGAGAGGTCTATGTCCAGCAGTGGACTGCGATAGGCTCAAGATGATGATGATGATAAAACAAAACTACTGTACAAATTGTTTGTTATTACGATAGCGACCATCCTCTGTTGCACCCAATGTTGCACCTTTATACTAATATGAATTAATTACGAAGTGTGATTACATACCATTTAAAAACTTAGGGTGGGCTGGTAATCTCCCTACAAAGCGGAGCCACTTCCGTGTGCGGGTCCGCCATGCTTACCAACACTCGAGCCGTCACAGCGGCTCACTGCTGGTGGGACGGAGGGAACCTGGCTACTATGTTCACCGTTGTATATGGATCCCTTACTCTATTCAGTGGAGGTGTAAGGGTCGATACTAGAGACGTGAGTTGGTTTCCTTTAATTCTGTTGCAAAAATAGAGTTCGATTCGATTCCCCCGCTGTCCAGCCTTTGCTGTCAGATATTCGGGATTTTTAATTGTCTAATGGGTTTCATTGCCGTTGTTTCGCGGAATCTTTGTAAATGTCGCATCACGTAGAGAAAGTATTCTCATTCTCATTCTCATTACATTTATGCGCTTTCAACATCTGTAGCTGGTTGGTTGAAAACAGTGATAATCGCGTGTAACGTCCGCGACACGGTTGCGGTCGCTTACTTTTCAAGTAAATCATTTTGTCGTTAGCTCACGCCTTTCACTGACGTCTCATTGGCGCTGAGCACTTTTTTCTTTTTTCTTTGATACAAACACGCGCTAATAGTACCGCTATAATACAAACAAAATGCCGATTAGAATCTTTGAACCGAAACAGTAACCACCATTGGACAAATAATAAATTTTACACAATTTCTTAAACTGTTGACATTCTTGTACCAAATTTCTTTTTAGCACGACCCACCACTAAGATTCAGGTAGTACTTAGTAGGTTAATAATATTAATAATAGGTTTTTATTAAAGACAGCAAAGGTCCACTCGTCAGTTTTACAGAAGTCTTTAATTAAATTTATTCATGTAAACGACTCGAAGGTATTCCGTGGCCCCGGCAGTAGCCAATTTGTCTGCATGAATCAACTAGCAGAGCAGACCAGACAAACCGGACACTAAATTAAGCACTGAATGCGTACAGGAGTCGAATGATAGTCGAGAATGTGTTGTGTGTCTCTTATATAAAGGACTATGTTGAAATAATGAAGCATTGCTTAATTACCTTATAGACTATTTAACACCAAAACCGGAGATGATTTAACTTGACAACTTATTTAGTTTAAACCTTCTTCGTGAACATGTACACTAAGTAGATACTGTAAGCTTGAGCGTAGCTTAGGATGCATAGCGAGAGGTACTTTTGTAAATATAAACTGGGATAATCTTCAAAACTTGCCTTATTGCACTTTTCTACATATTTTCTGCCTAGGGTACATTACGAACTATCAAGATGTTCTATTCTTTCTATTTCATTTTTTCAAACACATTCTAA